TTTTTTATTTTTTTTAATATATTATAATGTTTCATCATAGAAATTGCTGATGACAACAGACAAACACCAATTTGTTGTTCTAGCTCGATTCAAACAATGTTGTTTCGAAGAATATCCTAATATTAGACAATGATTGGTTGGTGTGCTTCGTGAAAATCCTCAAAAACTTGTTTTCGTAAAGGCATAATTTATGACTTTGACACAATTAATCCTTCGAGGTTATAAGTTACAATGTTGTGACTTTTTTTTTTATTAACATCGAGTTTTAAATTAATCTTTTTTTTTTAAGAAATTACGTCATTACATAACCAATTGATTTTGAAAATCTAATTTTAAAAGAATGATGTAGATAATCAATGACAGTTGAACAAACTTGTGTTATACGCTAATTTAAATAATTTTGTTAAATTTAACATTAGAAGTAATTGGGTTTTAATTTATGAAGGAATATAAATAAATTTTTTTTTTTTCGTAATTACAAATGGTATTGAGAGTATAGTGTAGCCACAGTAATTTTTTTTTTTGGAAAAAAAATTATATTTGTGACAGGATTTCAAAAAGAAATATTTGCCTGCATAAAAACGGAAAAGCATGACATCATCATTTATTTCCTTTATTTCCATATTCAAAAATGTCCCTATTATGATTTTTTGTAAATGTGACTACAATGCAAATTTAAAATTTCCATATTTCAAAAGCCAAGAAATATTTTGATTAGGAACTTTGTTTTTGTTTGCCAGGTTATGTCTTTTTCTGTGTGTCTCTCTCCATAACACATATGCTCTATGATGTTCTTATCTGTCGTTTTTTAGGGTGAAGAGTGGCTGGCGACCACTCACCTATGTTGAATTTCTTCCCTTTTTTTTAACGGTTAAGATGTCCGAATCATTTATGAGCATCGCGACTAATTCTTTTCTTATTTCGATTTAAAATAAGTCATCCATGTCAGGATTAAAGTATTCAAGAGAGATAAATCTTTTATAGCGTGTCCTTAAGAAATTGTCAAGATTCAAACTCAATACAAGATTCAAAAAAAAAAAAGAAATAGAGAACTTGGCAATACAATCCATCCCTTATAAGACCACACATATTTGTGCGAGGCTCTCAAGACTCCGGCAAGGTGAGATTCTAGAGGATGACTCCTGTTACGCAAATTGTCAGGTCTCCAAGTCAGTGACCTGCCAAGCTCTTGTGCATAGTGGGTGCACATACTACATGGCTTCTTCACCTAAGTGTCAAATGACTCAAATATTGATTTGAACCCCTTAAATTCACATGAAATTCGTACAAATTACATCACATTATACAATGAAGATTTAAAACTCAAATACAAATTTTACCAAATGACTTAAGATTGGATCTTTATTGGGTTAAGCGTTGACTTAGTATACTAGGTTACAAACCTGATTTCGCAAATACGAATCTTTTTCAAGAAAACTTGTTTTATTGTTGGATGTCTTCAAGAATACCCGACACCAATTAAACTAACTATAAAAACTTTTTTTTTCAACCTTTTTATGGTCAACAGCATAAATTCTGCTGTCATCCACCTCCACCTCTGTTTAGACAACATATGAATTTTTTTTTTTTGGTATAACGGTTAAAGGTGTTCGAGCCAGTTTCTGCGTATTTCAAATAATTTTTTTTTCGGTCCAATCAAATGCAGGTCATCTATATAAGGACTATAATATCTTTGATAGATAAATTTCTTATTGTCTAATCCCAAAAAATTATTAAAATTTAAACTCAAAAAGTCTTATCATTGCTTTGAATTCACAGCATATGAATCATCAAAATCAAATGCCACCGATTTTATGTAATGGGTTGGACCAAGTCCTCATCCATAGCCGGCCAGTAGCTGTTCTGATCATTGCTTTTTACGGTAAATGCATATTGATTAAGTAGGTCTGAGTTTAATCAAATGTCACACTTAACTCTTCTGGAGACATGATCAAAAACTGATTGCTGGCCTCACTGGGTGCCAAACAGCAAGAATACTATATATGGTACCTAAAAAACATGTGGGACCGATATCAAGATTAGGGCCGTTAATCGAACGAATTCAAACCGAGCCTAAAAAACTTGTTTTTTAATTAAACCTAAAAAATTGTTCAAGTTCGGCTCGAGCCTGAGTGCACATAAACGAATCAAACTTGTCGAGTTTGAGTCGAGTGTGTCAGGCTTGTTTTCTAAACGAGTTTAAAAACTTGTTCAAGTTTGGGCTCGTTTAAAAAACGAATCATGCTTCAACTAGCCAAAAACGAGCCAAACCTGAAACAAGCTCGAGTAGCTCAGTTCGATTAACAACTCTAATCAAGATTGATCCACAAGCATTGATTTTAGTCATTGACATAAGAATAATAAAATAAAATACAAACTTACACTTGTCAAAATTTTATGGCATAAAAAGTGAAGATTTAATACTAAAAAATAATTTTTCATTACCATAATCTGCTTAAATTTTGCAAAAAATGTAGGGGGAGAAGGCCAAACATTTTGGCTATACTGAAAGCCAGTAATAGTATGAAAAAAGAGAATTTGCAAATCTCTTGATGCATCATTAAGACGTAGCTATCTATAATCTATAATATAAAATATGATAGATTTTAATAAATTTGTCTGACAATTTCAAATAGATTAATTCAACTACCACAAACATCTATCTCAAAACCATTCACATTAAATTCCTCTGTCTCTCTTTAAATCCATTGCTTCTCACTTATATTACACCATATTTTCAGGCACAAATTACCCTTAATTTATATACAATTCATTGCATTCATTGAAATTGTAAATGCAACCAAACAAAGTTAAAGTAAATTAGTATATACTAGCAATTCTTAAAAGAATCTATTAACTCAATTTGATAAGAAATTTATGTAAAGTTATTAATTATATACTTAACCTTTATGAGTTTGAGTCATAATTGACTAGAGCAGCTTAGTAAACAGGTCAAATCTAACTATATTTAGTATGAATTTAATTATATATAATTAATAATAAATAAAATATAAGATAAATAAATTATATCATAACACGGCTGTGATAAATTAATAACATGACACGAGTTTGATGGAATATCAATCCAAAATAAAAACCATCTATTACGGGTCATAATCGGCTGGCATAATTTCAAACAATATGACTATCCGACAGCAACTTGGCATACATCAAACTTAAATAGCCCTTGTTTTTGACTACTTGTGCATAACCACGTTGGAGTCACAGCTTCAAATCCTCGAGTTTGAAAAATCGTCAGTTTCTGGACATAAGAGAATATGTTACTTTGGTGGGACGCACAGGTTCAATGGTCAATTGATTCCTTTTTCCCGGCTCCATCCTAATACCCATTTGGCCTTTTTAGTACATTTTCGGTCAATTTTCTTAATAAAAGATCATCTAAGTAAATGTTTATATATAATCAGATCAGTTTTAAATCGGCTGTTAGCTATTTTTAATCGGAATTGAGACCATGAAGATGACACAGACTCAACGTATTTTCAATGTTGAGGGCCAATCTAAATACTACGAGAGTAATGTTATATTTATCAAATTTTTTTTTATCAAATTTTAATTCTAAATGATGTGGCATAATTTTTTATTATCAAATAAGTGAATCTCATTAATATTTAATAATAAAGATTGTGTTGCACCATTTGGTACGGAAGTTTTGGTAATTTTTTTTGATAAACATAGAGAAGGTTATGAAACACCTAAAAAAAAATGGTTCACCAAACACCTACAATACACTTTCTATCTATAAAAGAAGGAAAGTAAGAATAATACAATTTCCTTTCTTTGTCTTTAATAGAATGGATGAAAAATAAAAATAATTTTTTTTTTTGTGCTTGGTAAAAGGAAATTTTTTTTAAAAAAAAAATATAAATACATATTTTATTATTGTGTATATATATATATGAAATTAATATATACATAATATATGTATACATCAAAAAATATATAAATAAATAAAAAATATTTCAACATAAATAATTAACTTTTTATCCACTTCCGATTTTAGAGGAATTGATTTTTGTGAATTGAAAAAAAAACTCATTCATCCACTTTTTCATCTTTCTTATTTTATTTTCTTATCAAACATGATATTTTATCTATTCTTCAAACTTTTCATCCATCTTTACCAAAATGAAGCATAAGAGTATCTTAAAGAGACTCTATTTGCCACTCAACTATCTATTTTAGATAATCATATCTAATAGGCTCTTTATTTAGACTCTAAAATCAAGAGTCCAATTAAACTCTCCACATTTAGAATATCAAACCCACTATTTACTCTATTTTTGTTTTTTAGCAGAAAATAATATATTTATTTTTTCATCTAAGACATTCAAGATAAAACATGTCACAACACTATTTACATCGAAACCAACTTCTTCTCTTCGTCTTGGCAACACAAAATGGAATTTCACCGAAGAATTTTTTGTTCATAATCAAATTACACAACCACAATATCAAGATATGAACATTAAATTAAATGCTTCAAATTATTTCTCTTGTTAACTAATACCCCATTAATTCCATTCTAGTAATAGCAAGCACTCACAGTTGGGTATTTGATCAAGGGAAATGAGAGGAAAAAAAAAATATTTTAGTTTAGTAAAAGCATGGCAGATAAAAAAAAGAAGAAAGTCAAATTTATTGAAATGGAATACAAAATTTCATCAATTTATTTAAACTTTTTGTCAAATATGCTCTATTTTTGAGAGCACCATTGGAGATGCTGTAAATTTCCTATAATAAGCATGTTGAGAATAAAAGCTTCAGCAGACTACAAAGAATGGAGCAAGGTGATACTCACTCAACATGCCTACATCAAGCGTGTCATAAATTAAGAAAACATTACTCCCAACAAAAACTCATAATTAAATTCTCTTCACATCTCAGGGATAACAGTAACGACGACAATATGGTAAAGGCAACTACAAATATCTTTGCCACTAGAGAACAGGAACACTAAAGTTGACTTACAAAGTCAAATCTTACACCTTAATGGCATACTTCCTCATAGGGAAGTACATCTCTCTCTTCTTCTCACGTTCTGTCTTCAAAGATGCCTATACGAAAGCACCAAACAAACGTCAAAATGAACAAAAAGGGGAACAAACTATTTGCATTGGGCTATATACAGGAAGTGCACTGTGAAAAACAGAAACGAGTATTGCAAGCAATCCAATGTTCACATTTGACCATCAAAACCCACATTGCAGAGACAGAACAACACAAATTAAGCCATATCAGCTGTTACAGTAGTAAGTTACTGCAGGGTGAAGTTAAAGGCAAACATATCAAACCCATCCCCTAGCAAAACAAGGGAGTTTCCATAAATCCAGACAATGGGATAATTGAAGATCAGTTCATAACATCACAAAATGCCTGGGCCCACTTTATCCCCTTTACTCCCATGTTTGGATACACAAATTTGGCCTGGTATTATCAACTAAAAATAATCTAGGCCCGTATGAATAGTACATTTAAACCCACCTATAACTTCTTAAATAAACCCACCTATTTAGTGGGTTTCAATAATCCGGTTGGGATGTGTTTGGGCCAAAGACATTTTTACCCTTTTTAACAAGAGGATTCTTTAATATTTTAATATTTATACCATCATTCAATACTCTATCCAAACAAAGTATTGGATGGAATAAATGTGGAGCTCACTACTTCTTAATACTTGAACCAAACATGGGATGATGAGGCATAAATTTTAAATTTGCAACACAAGAGCTTCCACAAATTAAGGGAATTGTCATTCAAGGTAGCGGAGTAATACTCCATCATTCTAGAGGACAATCATCTCAAGTCCCGCCAAAACATTAATACCAAGGAAAAATGGCATAATCCATGAACTGAAACATCACCATGCATAACTTATCTGGTTAGGAAGTTCAAAGAACTATCACAGGAAATATGATAACACAGCAGTGCCCGGGAAAAAAAAAATCAGTACAATACTAAAAGTTACTATTTAAAAAAAATAAGGCAACTACCACAGAGGCATCTTGGGTTTGCGTATGGGTGTCTCGAGGCAACATTGCACTTTACGGATAATTGAGGCAGCTATCTATTGGGGTCGCATGGCAGATTAAAGTCCCACCAGACTGATGCAGACTAACTACTGAGGATGAGAAGTTAATATCAATATATTAAGGCATCCCCCATAATGGCAACATGGAACAGAGACCAAGTGTTGTGCTTTCAAAATCTTTTAGGTCTAAGCACGGACAAAATGTATAGAAAAATTTACAATTTTGCTCATCATTACTACAAACATACCCTCTGAAGAAGATGGAGAATATAAAGCAGCGGTGAGAACACGACGACGACATCATACAACAGGGGATGCTAAAAGATCTTATTTTCAAATGCTTTCACCAGAAAAGGAATTCAATGATAGTGGAAGTCAAAACAATTGTGCTTTTTGCCTGCTTGCCGAATCAATTTGAAAAATTCGACAACAAATGATAAACTCTACTAAGGTCAAAACCAGGTTACAAACAGGATGTGTTTCAATTTGAATGCTAAACACATTTGAAAAACTAAACAATAAGATTTTCTGCTTATCACATTGTAATGTAGCATAGAACAAAAACAATATCAGCACCTGAAACATGATAACATACCCGGCATAATATAAAAAAAAACAGCAAAGATAAGTCAATTACTACCTTTCAAAAATGTAATACATGCATCGAAAAATCAGAAATTCAATCTTAAGGAAGAATAAACCATGTGGAGTGAACATGCATACAAATTATAATCTGAGTTAATAGGGGAAGAGGGGTTGTTTAGGTACCTGGTGCTTAGTGAGACGTCTTCGGATGGCTCTGGTCTTCTTGGGGCGGAGATCAAGGGGTAGGTACTTTTTGTTCTTGTAAACATCCCTTAGAGCTGCTTTCTGCTTCTGTGATATCACTGTCAACACCTGCGCTATGGACAACCTCACCACCTTTCTGCATATAAATTATCATCAAAATCAACACATCACCAACAATCATTCTCTCTCACACACAACCACAAATATACGAGCATAGATATATAGAGAGGGGTAGAGAATGAATACGAAATACAAAAAGCATACATCTTGGAAAGCTTGTTGGGGGCACCGCTAGTGACCTTGGCGACACGGAGGAGAGCTAGCTCTGCTTTCAGATCCTTCAACTGAGCCAACAGATCGGGCTTCGACTTTTGCCTCAGTTCGTGTACCTTGATCCTTGCTGATACAATACACCCAACAAAAAGATTGAATTAGTCAGTCACAACAACCTATCTGTAACGCGTAACGAAGACCGAATATGAATCCCTTCTTTCCCTGATTCGACTTACCCATGGCTCTATCTCTCTCTGCCTCTAAGCGCTTGTGAGGAAAGTGAACCCTAGTTCCACACGGTGGTCTTAATATCTACCCGAGCTTCAAACCCTAATTTGCTCGTCGACGATAAAACCTACTTTGGGATATGTTTTGGGCCTAATTGGGCTGTTTTTTAGCCCAAAGACGTTATTGGGTTTCTATATCAGGACGTAGACTTGTGGCGGAAGTTAGTTCATTCACTTAATGGGCTTGGAAGAATGGACAAAGGAGAGTTAAATGAGTAATGGGCTTCAAAAAGAGGATACGATTTTTAGTAGGAAATTCTTATGTAGCAAATTTATGTGATATTTGATAAAACTAAAAGCTTTTTTTTTTTTCGTTGAAATAAACAAATTAGATAGAAAACGACTTCAAAGTTATCTTTCCAAATTTTCTAAATTTTTACAATTTTAACTTTTTTAATCAAGAAACTAAAATTCTCACTAATCATATTCTATCATAAGTCTTTTGGTAATCACATCGACTCTCTACTAACTAACCATTATTTTGTTCAAATTTTATTTGAACAAA